CTTCCCTTTCCACATTGGGGGGCTGCAAGGAACTCTCTGTCTATTGCGCAAGCTGTGGATTCCTCAGGCTGGCCACGATCCTGGCGGTGATCTGCTGCATCGCGACTGTGAACGACTTGAAGTGTGAGTGGGACTCTGGAAAGGAAGGCCTGTGGCCTGGGTTCGCATCCATGGCAGGTAGGAGCGACAATCCTGAGACCCGTCTCCTTCCCTTCTAGGAGACCAGCTATCTTCCCAGAGAGAGTCTCCCTGTCACCTTCCTCACCACCGCTGGTGCAGGCTATTCTGGCTCGTGCAGCTTTACTTCCCTTGGCAGGATGAGTGTGGAATCTTAAATTGGGGTGTAGGGGGAGGTGAGTAGAAAGGGACAGGGACGGGATGGGGAGTACGTGAACTGCAAGGAGGACAAGTGGCATTTATTCTCCTTCGCTTCTCAGTCCTGAGTGCAAGACTGGACTAGAGCACACTACTCCTCCTTATCTCACTGCTGTTGGGTGTTTCCGGGCCAGAGAGATTAAGCAGAATCTGGGTGGTAAGAAGAGAAAAATCAGAGATACTGAGGAAAGATAAAGCAGGAACTCAGGGCAAGATGGTCAGCGGAGGGTCAGAGGACTCTCCCTGCTATGCCTCAGCCCTGACGCGTGTTTTCCCCTCACCGCAGGCCTCCGACACGCAAGCACTTGTGAACAGCCGCCTAACCCGCTCCCTGAAGTCATCTGTGGATCCTGCTTGTCTTTGCCTTCTGAGAATATCGTCCAGGGAAAGAAGTGCCTGAAACCCCTTTTCAAGTCTGGTGCTTTTGTGTTTTAGGAAAATATAGAAATCCATCTGTGTTTTCAGAAATCAAGGTCTGGGCAAGGAGCCCAGGAGAGAAGCTGTTCTCATCTCCCATTGGTTGCCCTCATTCCCTCCTGCTGCAAACTTGGGCACAGGAAGGAAGGCAGATAATGTTGCCTCAAGATTCTTCCACTCAAACCGAGCCGAGGAGCTACAGTGGAGGGCACCCCATACTACATAGGCTTATTAGTAAATTCCATTGCCCACCTTCCCCAACTCCAACCCAGTCACACTGGGGGTCATTTGGCATCTGCTGGACGTCTCCCAACTCACAGCCATTGCTTCCTTAAAAACAGGTCATCTGCTTCCTGGAATATCTGATAGACCAGAAGACAACCACGAAAAACCCCATGCAGTGAACTAACTTTAAGTATTCCATTTTCTCCTTTCTGTTTTATAAGTTTGTTTCTCACATATTTTGATGTTCTCTTGTTAGGTGCACACACATTAGGATTTTTATGGCTTCTTGAAAAATTGACTTTTTTATCATTATTTAGTGCCAACTTTAATTCATGATGATTTTCTTTATTTTGAAGTTGGCTTTGTCTGAAATTAACATTGCTACTTCAGCTTTCTTTTCTTATTAGTGTTAGCATGCATATCTTTCTCCATCCCTTTACTTTTAGACTATCTGAGTCTTTATATTTAAAGTGGGTCACTTATAGACAATATATAAGTCTTCATTTTTCATTTGTTTTTCTTTTTACTCCATTCTGACAATCAGTGCCTTTAAATAAGTCTATACCACTCACAATTAAAGTAATTATTGATAGAATTAGATTAATATCTACCATATTAGTTGTTTTATATTGTTGCATTTATTTAACTTTTTCCCATCTGATTTTTGCCTTGGGTTTTTTATTTTTTATTTTTTTGTAAATTTCAGAATATTATGGGGGTACAAACATTTTGGTTACATATAATGCCTTTGCCTCACACAAACCAGGATTATAAGTGTGTCCTTCCCCCATATGGTGCACTCCACCTCCATTAGTTATGAATTTATGTAGCCCTCCACCCCCTCCCACATGGTTGGTACCCAATGAGTATTACTACCATGTGAGAACTTTAGTATTGATCAGTTAGTAGCAATATGATGGCAAGTACATGTGGTGCTTGTTTTTCCATTCTTGTGATACCTCACTTTGAAGGATGGGTTCAAGCTCTATACAGGATAGTATAAGAGGTACTAGTTCACCATTGTTTCTTATGGTTGAGTAGTATTCCATGGTATACATATACCACATTTTATTAATCCCCTCATGTATTGATGGGTACTTGGGTTGTTTCCACATCTTTGAAATTGTGAATTGTGCTGCCATAAACATTCAAGTGCAGATGTCGTTATGAAAGACATTGTCTTTGGTTTTAATTAAGAATTTTGAGGAAGGAAATAGCAAAGGACGTAAACAGGTGGAAAACCATACCATGCTCCTGGGTTGGCAGAATCAACATTGTTAAAATGTCTATACTACCCAAAGTGATCTACAGAGTCAATGCAATTCCTATTAAAATACCATCATTTTTCACAAATATAGAAAAAATAATTTTACACTTCATATGAAACCAGAGAATACCCCATATAGTAAAAGCAAACCTAGGCAATAAAAATAAAATGGTAGGTATCAATTTATCAGACTTCAAACTATGCTACAAGGCTATAGTAATTAAAACAGCTTGTGATTGGCACAAGAACAGGGACATTGACCAGTGGAACAGAACAGAGAACCCAGATATAAAACCATCCTCATATGGCTATCTAATCTTTGACAAAGCAAACAAAAACATACACTGGGGGAAAATCCTTATTCAATAAAAGGTGCTGGGTAAACTAGATAGCCATATGTAGAGGACTGAAACAGGATCCACGCCTTTCACCTCTCACAAAAATCAACCCACGCTGGGTAAAAGACTTACATCTAAGGTGTGAAACTATTAGAATTCTAGAGGGAAATGTTGGAAATACTCTTCTAGACATTGGCCTAGGCAAAGAATTTATGACGAATACCCCAAAGGCAATCACATTCCACCACCCTGGTGCAGGCTTATTCTGGTCTTGCAGCTAGTTCTTCCCTTGGCAGGATGAGTGTGGAATCTTAAATTGGGGGTGTAGGGGGAGGTGAGTAGAAAGGGACAGGGACGTGGATGGGGAGTGTGAACTGCAAGGAGGACAAGTGGCATTTATTCTCCTCGCTGTCTCAGTCCTGAGTGCAAGACTGGACTAGAGCACACGTACTCCTCCTTATCTCACTGCTGTTGGGTGTTTCCGGGGCCAGAGAAGATTAAAGCAGAATCTGGGTGGTAAGAAGAGAAAAATCAGAGATACTGAGGAAAGATAAAAGCAGGACTCAGGGCAGATGGTCAGGGAGGGTCAGAGGA